AAGAGGACCGTCTTACATAATCATGGCACATCTGTCAAATCTAAAATTAATTAATATTAATACATTATTATTAACTAGACTCCAGACTTTATTTGGATTTTGCCAGCTTTTCCACTAAGGCTCTTTGCCTAGCCAAGGATCTAATCCAGGATTCCTCACTGCCTTTAGCAAGTACACTTTTATTAGCTCATTTATCCTCCCAATAGCCTCATGAGGAAAATATTTTTCCCATTTCCCTGAAGCCAACACTGAGGCTCACTGAGAGACCACTCAGAAAGGATCCAGAGAGCCAGCAACAGCAGACCCAGGCTCAAACCAGTCTCAGAGTAGGGACAGGAGGTGAAGATGGCTCCAACAGTGCGCGGTACGAGCACCTAGGGCAGATGGGGTAAGTGGGTAAATCGGCAGAACAGGCTTTGGTTTCTGCTACTGTGGGTATTTCACAAGGGTCCTTCTGTGATGTCGCTCAACACGCTAACTTCATGAATCACATATTCATTCAGAACTAAGACATACTCTAGTTATAGCCAAAAAAAAAGATCAGGAATTAATTGGAAATTCTTCTTCTTAATCCTTGAGAGGCTGCCAGCTGGCTGCGCATTCCTGACATTCAGTGTGAGTGGTGGAGCCCAGACTCGGGTGCACACTGGGATCTCTGGGATCTTTTCAGCCCCCACATCCAGGGGTGTGGAGGGCAACCACCACCAACAGTCTTTTTTTGACAAAAGTCAAGCTCCTAACAGACCCACGGGAAGCAGCCGGGATCACTCATCCTGTGACACAACCCACGTACTTGCAATGCAGCTGTTCAGTCAGATCTTCACAAAAGCAACCAAAACCACCAGGCGTGGTAGCCCATGCCTCTCATCCCAGCACTAAGGAGGCTGAGGCAGGAGGATTTCTGTGGAACCAGCCTAGACTACATACTGAGTTGAAAGCCAACCTGAACTACAAATTGAGACTCTGTCCCAAAATAAATAAATAAGCAAGCAAGCACTCAGAACAAGAATTCCTATTGGGCCAGGGATTCAGCTTAGTGGTGCCATGGGCCTGCTTCATAAGCACAAGGTCCTGAGTTTGATCCCTGGTACCAGGAAAAGAAACAAACAAAAAAAGCATTCCTCATTAGTGCGGCATAGGATAAGGATGAGGCTTATAAAGAAAACAGCTAAGTTATACAGCAAAAAAAGAGAACAACTTAAAAATGCACAAAGCCACATCTGGTAACTGATAGGAAATTAAATCCCTTTCCTGGTTAATATATAGATGAATGCAGCTCCCACTTACATTTGAGCAAGCTCATAAAAATTCAAAGCCTGAAACTAGTTTTGAAAAATGTATAAATTATCAAAGAGAAAAAGTAATAAGGCAAAGCTAGTCCTCCCAGACATTAAAAAAACATACTCTATCAATAATCAAAATCATAGGACTTGCTCAAAGCAAGAAACAAAGAATCCTCACTGTACACAGGAATGTGATAAGTGATGAACACTAAGTAAAATCGAGGTTAAAAAGCTATTTAATGAATGCCTCTATAATGGATTCCAATACAGAGTAAAATTAATTTAGGGCTAGGGATGCAGCTCAGTAGGAGAGTGCACACCTAGTACACACAATGTCTTAGGCTCAATCCCCAGCACAGGGGAATGGAGGGAGGGAGGGAGGCAGGGCAGGCAGGAAGGAAAGGGCAGGAATAGGGGAGCGGAGGGAGAGAAGGAGGGAGAAAGGAAAGAGAAAAGCAAGTAAAAAGACAAGAAAAGGGGCCGGGATTTAGCTCAGTGGTTTCGTCACCTGCCTTGCAAGTACAAGGACCCGAGTTTGATCCCTGGTACCAAAAAAAAAAAAAAAAGAAAAAAAAGAAAGAAAGAAAGAAAAGAAAAGCAATGAGGGTAAACCATGAGGTAGCACTTAAAATTAATATTGATAGCAAAGATGATGAACCAGCATTTATAAAGTTAGGGGGAAAATATCTCACCACTTTACAAAAATTTTATACTGCTTCCTCTTGGAAGGCAATCTGGTAATATAATTAATGCTCAATTTTTGAAATTCATATGCTTTGACTCGAGACTTTCATTCAAGAGCCCAGCATGGTGAATGCGCCTGTGGTCCCAACCACTCAGCAGGCTGAGGCAGGAGTGTGAGCCTGGGCTCAATCAAGGACAGCCTGGGCAACAGACCAAGACCCAAACAAAACACAGTTTCATTCAAGAAGAGAGAGATAGGTGTATGCAAAGATGTTTACAGAAGGATTTTGTTTTACAGTACAAAACACAAGATTTGAGGAATGGTTAAATGAATTATGGCAAATTAACTGTGAAAAAAAGCCACTCTTTAAAAAGTAAGCAAGAAGACCACATAGAGGGAGGCAGATATGAAAAATATCAAAGTAAACAAGAACATCTACCCATATTCTATAATTATAAGCATACAAAATTGTTCACAAAGATAAAAGCTGTGTGCAAGGCACCTGGCCAAGCACTCTGTATCTTTTATTTATTTCTTATACCAATTTATGAGTGAGCCACACTTGCTCTAATTTATAAAATGAGCAAACTAAAGCCTAGAGAGGCCTGGACCTTGTACATACACGTGAGGAGCCAGAACTCAGCCGCAGCCAGTGTGACCGATGTGCATGGAAATTGCATTTAAGAGAGAAGTAGCAGATGCAATATTTTGGTAAAGTGAATCAGTCTACACAAGTCTCAATTAGGTGCTATACTATTAGTCTATTTCTCGGTTCCACCACTTCTAAAACTTTTACATAGGCAGCCAGTCACTCTCATCTTATAAAAATAGATAGTTTACAGTTGTGACAACATAAAAAAAACACCTGGAACTTAGCTCTGGTCTTGCCCCAAATGTGTTTTTCATGCATAACCACAGTGCAGCCAAAGGAGCCATGAAGTAAATCGTGTTCGTCTGGGAAAACCCCTTCAGGAGGCATGGCTTGCTCCCACTGCCACCCCAGACCTGGTCCTCACAGGCCCAACAGCAGCATGGTGCTGAGGGATGAAGATGTCCTCATGCACATCTCAAGCTCCCTTCTGTCCCACACAGCCTAAAAGGGCAGCTTCTGTCTCTCCTCACAGCACAGGTGAGGTTTTTCTGTACCCTTTGGACAAACATGGAAGAGCCGCTGAGGTCCAGACTGCCTGTGAGATTAGGAGAAACTGTCATCACAGAAGAAAGGGGAGCGGCAAAGGCCTAGTCCTGAGTATGTTAGTGGGCAGAAATCCCTGGAGTACAACCACTGCCCTTCACAGGTGCGTCTTAGGGACAGTCTGGGCGTTCAGACACATGGCCGTGCAACATTTCCAAGGCAGTCTGGGGTTAGAGACACATGGCTTTGTGAAGTTAAGACTGGGAACACAACGTTCCTGGAGGTAAGGACAAGAGGCACAGGTACCAAAAAATAAATATGGGGAAATAAAGATTTGTTTAAATGTCCAAGAAGATTGACTCAACGGCCATCCCCGTGTAGTTTATTGGTCAGTTTACCAGTAGTTTCTGTAAGAAACGCAGAGAAGGCCAAAAGAAATCACCCTCACAGTAACGTGGCCTCCTGGAAGTAGAAAGTTCTTGGTAGCTCAGCCACTGCTCTGAGAAGCAACCAGTTCCAAAAAGCCAGCTCCCTTTCTCCATTTGCAAATGCTGGCCCTCATCCACAAGCAACCTAGTTTTCTAAGCGCAGGATATTTACAGGTGCTCACAAAGCCGCGTGCGGCTCTCCACACAGTCCACAGCCGCCGGCTCGCTTTCACCTTCGTGCAGACAGGAAGGTGCTAGCTCACAGATACAATGGCTGGCACACACACGCCAGGCCGGCTGAGACAGCAGCTGCCGAACTCCTCAGCTGCAGCATAGTCACGTTCCCCAGGCTCAAGGTGAGCAGGTTAACCCCGTTCCCATAGGTCCCAGGCTCCAGAGAAGCCAGGCCACCATACTCATGTGGAAAGGAGCCTCACTGAACCCGGGCCACGCCACCTTGCTGTCCCCTCAGACCGTGAGATAACCGGGGAACCGCAACTACCAGAGGTCTCCGAAGCCCCCTACAGTGCTGGCAGAGAACTGAAAGTTATTACAAGGTGACCGAGTCGATTTCTCCTAAGGGGTGGGTTTGTCACACATGGGTCAATAACAATGTTGACTATGCTTATGTGACAAAACTACGTGGCTCTGGATCTCTTGTCCTTCGTGTCACACTTCTGCAATCACAAATGAGCATCTACAAAAGTAATTCAGTATTACCAGTTTAAACATCTGCTTTCCCCTAGCTTTAGTTTATGGAAGCAAAAATATTCTTGTCTCTTCCCATCTGCCCCAAACTAAGACAAATGACTAGCAATCACTAAAGATCTGATGATCTTCGATAATTTTAGAAAATGAATGCTTTTTTCTCTTTCCTTTCTGCAATCCCGCTGTGACAGGACAAAAAGATTCGTTTTGAAACAGATCCTTCTGCTCCCAATTACAGGGAGGCAGAGCCAAGTGCAGGGAAGTTCTACTCAGATGTGAACACAACAGATTCTCTTCTCCGCTGGGTCCCTCTGTGTAATAGTGACACCCAGTCCCCAGGGCCCCCGTAGAATCTGGCTCCACCCTGGTCAGCAGCCCAACCCCCACCAGCACTGCCATCTTCCACTCAGCTCTTGGAAACAAACTTCACCTTCTTTTCCCTAGTCTGATAATTTTCTTAAATTTATGAGAAAAATTTTTAGATTTCATATATAAATAAGATCCCCCAAAGGAAATCCTATGTTGATAAGAAGTGAATAGAAAAATAATACTTTTAATTTCTGTACAGAGGAATATGGAGAATAACCTTGGCTGCGCAGAAGAAACCAGAGACCAAAGAAGATACGCCAACGAGAAGACTGAGGTGTGGGAGTCTCTCCTCTCCCACCGTGTTAGGACAGGGCAGGCAGAGCCCCGGGTCCGCGGTGGGACAGGTGAGGCACACAGTACAGTCCACGCTGGTGTTCTGTGCGATCACTCACCTATGCCATTGGCCAGGCCACTGTGGCTGGGGTTCTTGATGGGCTGGCGGTGCCGGTTCCTCGTACCAGGGCTCTGCTCGCTGGTTGCTGTGGCTGTTCTGGCTGAACCACCTGAATGTCTGTGTGTCCTGGGGGTTCAAAGTAAAACACGGACAGACATAAGACACTGTAAAAAAGAAAGGAGTATATCCTACCTAAGTCATCGTCTTCCCTCTCTTGCTATTTATTGGGAACAAGACCTTTCATAGCCCCTCCAATTTTTGACTCAAAAGAAGCTGGCTCCACGCAGAGGCCCAGGAAAGCTTCCTTCTTGGTAGAAGCCCAAAAGGCAGCTTTGGGTAAACTTTTCCATTTGCAGTAAACAAATCCAGAGTGAATTACCCCACATCTGAAGCAACTGGCCAAATAGCCAGTGACCATCATATTATTTTTACTGGGCTGAAATGTTTAAAAATAAACAAGAATCACCAGACAGGCTGCAGATGAAAATTTCTCCCATTAGGCAGAAGGAGCCCAAACTTCTCCAAATTGACTTTCTCTCTAGCTAAGAAGATGATTCTCTTGGAAACCAGAGGTCAAGGGGCATTACACAACTGTAGCCAGTACATCTGGTGACATGTTTTACCAGGAAAGATGACTTAACAGCTCATCCACGTAAAAAAGAACCAATGCAGAAATGAATCTAAATCACAAAGGAAACAAAAACCTACATAACATATTCAGAGAACACAAGGCAATGGCAGTGTGTTCTCAAGTCCCTTTTGCAGCATGCTGTTTCTCCCTCCGCTCAGTGACAATGTCTATGCCTCCCTGCTCTTCAGTTCAGCTCTTTCACAAAGGACATTATTCTTCTACTTCGTAATTCTATACTAATTTGTAACAGTGAGGTGGTTTAAAGACCATCTGGAGAAGAAAAGATCAGCTCTCTCCAGACACAGAAACAGAAGCCCAGAGAATGATGTACACTATAAGACACGGAACAGGAAGACTACTATAAGCAATAAAGGTAATGATAATCACCACGGAAGCGCTATGCACTTTTCTCATATTATCTCATCTAACTTGGCCACCTATAAGTAGCATACTGTTATTGCTCCCATTTTACAGATTTTAAAAAAAAAGACACAGAGAAATTCTATAGAAAATAAGCCACGCAGGGCCGGGGACTAAGCTCAATGGCACTGGCCTGCCTTGGAAGCGTGAGGTGCTAAGAGGGAAGGGCAGGGGAGGGGAGAAAATAAGCCATGCAAAAGAAAATAAGAAAATAAGTCTAGGCAGCAAAACTTCAACAGCCTCTGATCTTCGGGTGGGGGTGGGAAGACTGGACTTAACGCTGAGTTCTTCCACATGGCTGATGGTAAGCCCAGACAGTGCCTGCTGGGAGGACCCACACCCACCAGAGTACCCTATTTGGTGAGTCTCTGGCCCGGTGTGTTGGGATAAGCCTGCAGCACAATGAGCTGGAGGTCCCCGGAGGGATAGGAACTGCCCCCGTGACCTGCCTTCTCTGCGACAGA